AGAATCGTTCACCCCATATGTGCTGATGCCCCAGTAAAATCTTACCGCCTTCACTTACTTAGCGGCTTGCTGCTAAAGAACCGTGGGAAACATGTAAAATACCGATGGCAAAGAAGAACGATTCCAGTGGCTACCCAAAAGTGAAAAATGTATTCGGACAAGTAAATTGCCAAACTCACTTGTCCATGGACAAGTACTCTCTAAAAACTTTTTCTCACACTGATTGTCATATGCACCGTAGCTGCAGTGTCGTTATGGCAATGGCAATCTTAAGCCCCAGCATCCCACAACAATGCAACATAAATATATATAAGACTTTAGAATAAAACAATAAAAAATGGTGCAAGATGAAACGGTATAAATATAATAGGGACTAATGTGCAGGTAATGCAGGACCAGTAGACGTAAGTAAGATGAGCTAAAAACAGAATGTAAAATGAAATAATGTACAGGAATAAAATACTGCTTATTGTAGTAGTAAATACACATGTGGAATACAAAACAGACGGAGGCTTGTAACATGTTTTAAGAGCCAGTGGAAAGAAATCAGTTTTGATTTATGTCCCTTGTTTTATTTCTGAACCCGATTGAGCGCAGGACCCTTTTCCTGTTTGTACTGATGGGTTCTGATATGATTGAATCCATTCTACTCATCTTAACAACTTTATTTATATAGCATCTTTCATGCAAGATGCAGCCCTGAGCAAGACAAGATAAGCAAAACAATAGCAATGAGTACAAATAAACAGAAAAGAGTTGGAACACAAACAATAAAAGAATAAAACATGAAAATTGGTCCCACTAAAATGACCCCAAGTTTGTAGGGTTATAAATGTGTGTGTGTGTGTGTGTGTGTGTGTGTGTGTGTGTGTGTGTGTGTGTGTGTGTGTGTGTGTGTGTGTGTGTGTGTGTGTGTGTGTGTGTGTGTGTGTGTGTGTGTAGGCTCGTCTGTCCATGGAGCTGCAGAGGGACAGTCATATCAAACAGCAGCGACTCATCCAGGAGCGCTTGAAGAGAGAGACCCGTCGAGAGGCCACGAAGTCCCGCCTCGCTCAGGCGCAGCCCCCCCCCAGCAGCCCGGCCCTCCTCACCCAGAACCCGGGCCAGCTGCAGCACAGCAGCCCCCCGGCTGCAGAGGGGGTCAGGGAGCGGGAGTACGACACCCTGCTCTACCAGCTCCAGACCCGGCAGACCGGGGGCTGCCAGCCTCTGACCACGCCGTGCCCCGGCACTAAGACCACCAAAGACGACAAGACCCGGCTGGAGGAGCAGCAGACCACCATCGAGGACCTGCGGCGCCTGGTGACCCGCCTGATGGACGAGAACCAACACCTGCGCTCGGAAAACGCCCGGCTGCGATCCGAGGCCACCGACGCAGACTTTGTGGAGTGCTCCGAGCTCTGGGGGAACTCACAGGCAGGGGGCGCTCTGGGGACAGGGGGGGAGCAGGTGAGGAGGAGCACGGGCGGGAAGGGGAAGGAGATCGCCATCCCCCAGCTGCCCCCGCTGGAGATGCCCGCGCAGGAGGACCTGTGTCTGGACGACCTGCCCCTTCTGGAGCTGCCCGAGGACATCCAGAACGAACTGAAGGAGCTGCTGGACAGGGACAAGCTGTGAATACACACACACACACACACACACACACACACACACACACACACAGGCGCACAGGCGCACAGGCACCAGGGTTGAGTTTGGATGCCAAAATGTTTGTCATGTGACCCGGGGCTGTCACAGAGCTATAATGAAACCCCCTACTGTGTGCAGTAATAATGATGATGCAGGGGGGGGACTTGTGCGAGTTATTTTTTTATTTCATAGTCTGGAATTAAATTACTGATTATTTCAGTGCTTCGAAATGCTAAATGATAGTGCTTTTTATCTATAAGATGATAATTAACATAATGTTTTGGGCTTTTTGCAAATGCTGGCACGGTGGAAAGCATCCCTCTAACTTCCTGTTGGGGGGGATTTTGGCCAACACATGAATGCCAGCGGCTGTAGAGTTTGATTATATACAAATATCATTTTGTTGACATTAATTAAGTTAGTAAACATTAAGTTACCAATAAGATAACGTTATTGAATTATTTTATTGTTGGATTTTTTTTTTTTTAATTTTTGCTATCATAATAGATTTTGTATTGCCCTTATTTCTTTTTTTCTTGCACCAGAGCCTGAGATTCAGTTCTTTCTGTTTGCCTCTTTCAGAAAGAAATAAGAAAATGAATGTGGGATGTTAAAACACATCATTGCTTGAAACTTGATGAATAAAATCAACTGAGATTCTTTTGAAATGTTCAAATTTTTTCAATCCGACATGAAGTTCTCTAGTTTTTTAATTCATGTTCTTCTAAGAATCCAGGAGACAATCATGGACTTTTGGCCCTGCAGTAAAACACCTGCTTCACCAGCTGTGGAGTATTTAAGCTACTTCCTTTTCCTCAGTCGTCAGTTTGAGAGATGAAGCAGAACCAACACCTGATGTTACACTGATTGCTCCATGAGGGAGAGTGGAGAGCGACACATGTAGAATGTGTCTGAACTGCTCCTGAAGGGCATTATTGGACCACACACACACGGATCATGTTCAGAGCATACTGCTGTTTCTGAGGAACAACTTCTCTGCTGCATTTTTTTATTTGATTTGAGTGTACTTGAATTAAAGGCTTCAATTATAATTTTTGTGTGTGATGTGAATTTTTATTTTGGCTGCCAAAGAGAGAGTTAACTGATGTTCTTGTGCAGCAATAGCAACACACACACACATCTGCATCTTTCATATTTCTCTACTAAGAAGCGCAGAAAGTGTTTGGCGTGTTCTAGCCTTTAACCACACATCACTTTCCAACCGTTTCTGAGACGTTAGAATGAGCATCTCCGGGGACCCGGTGTGTCCCCGGAGACTAGAGGAGCTGAGACAACTCATTGACTAATGAATCAGAAAATGTCATATTTAAGAGTGCTAACTTATCTATTTTTTATAGCAAACATGAACTGGCTTCTGACTGTCTGTGTTTTACATCATTGAAGTGAATCATTGTGACATTTGAAGATGACATATTTTGCTTTACGAATTAGAGATGAGCATTTTTTCTTTCAATTCTGATTTGAAGATAAACTGTTAAACTAATAATTGGAACTGGATTGGATGAATTGATTATGAAAATAAAGACACACCCCAATGTGGCACTACAGATTTTAGCTGCATCACATGCTGTGGTAACATCAGATATGGTGTGCTTACTTCCTGTTTATACCTTATGATAATGAAGAGAAAGGAAATGCAGCTCTCACAGCTTGCATCATCTTTCAAACTCATCGATGTTCAGGATGAAGGAAGCTGCTGCGGTTTCTCTAGGGATCAGTTGTGTGCAGACAGGTTTGGAGATGTAATGAAGGGAAGAAGAGGACAGGAACAACAAGTGAGGCCTGTCCCTCTGCAGGAGAGCAAAGTGAACATTGTAATAAGCAGTCTGACGCTAATCCTGTTGGCTTCTGTTTCATGTCAAAGAAGTGCAGATTGTTGTCATGACAATGCATTTATCCCTTTATCTGTCCTGACTCCTGGACAGGGCCGTGGGAGCGGAGGGCTAAAAAAGGTCCATGGGAAGTCTATAAACAATCAAATGTGTCATAATGAAATAAATAAAAAGTTGTACTCATGTAACAGGACTGGGAAGATAAAGAGGAAAGTGATAGTGCAGCAATCAGAGGCAGTGTTCAAATCCAAAAAAAGCCTTTATTGCTATCAAACTCAAAAAGACCTCCAATAAACAAAGGCCGGGCCGCTAACCGATTTACCGAAACGTTTCCTCACACTGGGAGCCTCCTGCTCCCTCCATGTGCCGCACACAACTGAGCAACTCTGTACTCTGTAGTGATGGGAATTATGGCTCTTTGAAGGGAGCTCCGTTCCTCTCAAACGCCCCTTTCACACCAACGCGTTTTCAGCTCCGGCTCGGAGCTGGAGCATGGATGTATAATAACTCTGGATACAGCGTGGTAGGCGGGGCCTCATTCATTCCTATGAGAGTTTCTCATTAGCGCATGATGATAAAATCATAGATATATATAAACACTAGATGGCTCATGGGAGATTTTCCAGCGTAGCTCACCGGCCGCCATCTTGCTACAGTCAACAGCTACTCTGGTACGCGCTGTGGTAGCTGTTGTAAGGTGAGTGATCTGCACAAAAATACTCTTAAATCGCTGAAATCTTGACTGATTTACAAACGGTTTGGTTTATTATAAACATTATTAGCATGGCTATGGTACAGGATGCTTGGACATGTTGAAATTGCAGCTTTTTCTTTGTGTATGTGCCGTGGTTGTATTTATTAGCTGGCTAATAACAAGAGGCTGTGAGTGAGACCTAGTATTAAAAAGTTGACCAAACAACTTTACACCAGTGGGAGAGGCATAACTGCTCTTTCCTTTCAACATAACTTAAATTACACATGATTTCTTCCAAGTTTTTTGGCTTGTTAAAAACATCTTACATTTTAGATACATTATGATACAGGAAATTGCTGGCTTTGTGTTTACAGAAGTACCTGACTATGCCGGACTTTTGTGCAGCCTGTTCTAAGATGCTCTAATAACCGCAGTCTGCAAACAAGAACCCGTGGAATCACCTTTCACGTGTAAGATATGACAATATTATGACTATAATTAGGATAATCGTTAATTAGTTAGTGGATGTATGTACATTACAAGTACCCCAAAAATATGATAATTTCGTTGTGTATTTCTGTCCTTACCCTTAATGTTAAAGGAAAGAAGGGAGGACAATGTTGACAATCATTTATATATCTGGCTACCTTTCTCATGTTTTTAAGGTTTCCCAAAACCGGAGAGAGGAGGAGGCAGTGGGAAGTTGCCCTAAGAAGGGACGGTTTTTTTTCCTGTGGCAGGACACTGCTCTGCAGTGAGCACTTCAGGAGTGAGGACTTTGACAGGACGGGGCAGACTGTCCGGCTTAAAGATGGTGTTGTGCCAACAGTATTCAATTCCCCAGCTCATCTTCAAAGGGTATGTGTATCATTGGCCTACAAGAATTCAAGGTGTATAAGATTGATATATAAATATGTGATTAAATGTCACACTTTAGTTTTTCTTTCTGCAAGTTTAGGAATAAATAATGTGTTGTGTATTACAGCACATTTTAAACAATCAAAATGTCTTTAATTATATTTATTTTAGCCGGAAGCAACAAGAAGCACAACCACTTCAAGAAGAGCGGAAGATGAACCTCAGCCTAATGTTGTGAGTATTCTGAATGTGGCCAAGACCAGAGAGATGGTCATTGATTTCAGGAGGGTGAGGACGTCTCCTCTACCCCTGTTCATTCTGGGAGAGGATGTGGCTGTTGTGGAGGACTACAAATACCTGGGAGTGCACTTAGACAACGGGCTGAACTGGAGGATCAACACTGACGCTGTGCACAAGAAGGGGATGAGCAGACTCTATTTTCGGAGGAAGCTGAGATCCTTCCACGTGTGCAGCAAGATGCTGGAGATCTTCTAAGTCTGTTGTGGTCAGTGCTCTCTTCTTTGCTGCGGTCTGCTGGGGGGGCAGCATAAGAGCCGGTGACAACAGCAGGATCAATAAACTGATCAGGAAAGCTGGGTCTGTCATCGGCATCAAGCTGGACCCCTATGAAGCTGTGGTGGAGAGGAGGACACTGAACAGGCTGATGTCCATCATGGATAACCCCACCCATCCTCTCCACCTGCAGCTGGACAGTCAGCGGAGCTCCTTCTCCAACAGACTGCTGCAGCTCCGCAGTGCCATAACTCTGTACAACAAATCACCTCTG